TAAGTCTGCAACTCTCCTTCTCTCTCTTCCGCTTCAGAAAAACGGAGGAAATTGTGTGATCAGTGTGTAGTTATATATTTTGATTTTTGATCAAGTTACTTGTAACTGCTAAAACACATTTGGTCTTCTTCTTCTTCTTCCTTGGGCTTGTAATTTCTGCCAGTTCAGTGTTGCGGTGGGGGTTGCTTTGTGGCCATAGTAGGTGTCAGCCAAAACGAAGAGTTTTTGTCGCCTCAGTATACGGAATTGGTGTACTGGTTTTATTTTTTTGGGGGTAAAAATTATATATAAAATATATAAATGGTTATTATTAATATTATAATGGTCTAGAATCAGATGGAAAATTAAAGAAATTTAATTATTATTATTAATCCCGAGTTCTATGAGGTTTTTTTTAATATTAAATTTGATTAGAAATGGGAATTGAATAATTTATTTGATCATATGTTAGGACAAAAGGAAAAACCTTTCATATGTTCTGTGCTTCTTAAAATTACTCTGATGAACATTAGAGATTTATTTTATTTTTCATTTTAATACCATTTTTCTTGTTTTGCTGCTAGAGGAAAGGATATCTGTCTGACTGACAGTTTTACCTTCCTGATGATATCTTGCAGACATACCCCAATCCATTACAAGACAATCCTTCCTATTCAGTTGTTAAGTAAGTTTGGCTCTTTCAGTTCCTTGCTTCACAGAAAATGCATGTGATGTCACTCATTCAATTGTGATCTTGATAATTCACAAATTGATCTTGTGTTGGCCAGGCAGTATTTCGTTAATGCGGATGATACCGTTGCCCAAAAGGTGAGTAATATTCAGTGCTTGCTGTATTAATTGTGTATTTATTTTTCTAATATATATCTTATATAAATTACTAGTGATATGAAAATTGTAATATCTTACAATTTCAGGCTTCACAGTTGGATAAAAGTTTAGACACTAGGTTTGTGCATGTCTTCTAATTCCATAATGTTCATCTCTGTGTAGATTGTTGTTCATAAGGATAGCCCAAGAGGGACACACTTTCGGCGCTCTGGACCACGTCAGAAGGTTTTACATTCCTAGTTTTTTCATATATTTTTTGTTCTTGTATTTATGTATTCTAGTCAAATGACATGCCATTTAATATTTTTCAGGTATATTTCGAATCAGATGAAGTGCATGCATGTATTGTGACATGTGGTGGTCTATGTCCAGGCCTAAAT